CGTATGATGCTCAGATCCCGGACTCCAGTAGCGAGCTCCAAAGCACAAGGTTTCACCTGGCTCTCACCAGGCTAGTTACTCCTTGGAGGGTGACACCAACAGATCTGTCCTCCCTGAGTTCTTAACTACCAAACACTCAAACTGCCCCCCCGCCCCTTTCATTATCCCAAAGACATGAAACCAGTCCTCAGTTATCAATTCACTCTGGCACCCACATTCCTAGCACCACAGAGACCTGTTTGGGATAAAAATAGACAAAAAGTTCATTTAATATAAAAACCACCGATTCAGAGATGAAATAGTAAGGGAAAGCAAACAGACACAAATGACGAAGGCTTTCCACTTCTACATTAGAGAATGTCCCTTTTCTAAAACAATTTACCTAATGCCTTTGAACAGGTTCCCCCAGTACCCTGTAACTCTAGGGGGATACAGGTTTCACAGACAGCCTCCAGGCTGTCCCTCAGTTTCCAGATTTAAAAAAAAACCCCTTCAGCTACAAGCTTACTTTTAAAAGACTCCCCTCCCCCTTTTAGTCCAGGGTTTATTCAGTGTGTAAATCCCTTCTTAACTTTATAGCTGGGTTGGATGGATGGCTTTCCATTAACTCTCATGCTCCACCGTTGTCTCTTCCTGACTGGACAATGGGTCATTACTTGAAGCCAGTTTCTTGAAAATACCTGGCTTAGGAGATGCCTCCATGCTGGCAGATGTAGTTGAAATTGTAGTGCAGGTATGTATACATCTCTCATAAAAACCGTCAAGTTCAGCACATTACAGGCTTTCATAAAAGACTTTACTGGATACACTTTGATAGTACAATATAGTACGCAATCAGTTACTTCACGTGCTCTTTGTTGGGGGTTTAAACCTTCTGTTCTTCCCTTGGGGTGTCAGGACCTGATTATCACAGCATAATAGGAGGCCTATTTCTTGGCACATCTAAAACTAGATCGTATTAGAGAATAATCCTGCCTAGGCACCGAGAAGAGCTAGATGACACGCTGTGTTTGCATCACTGAACTCTGTGAGACTGTCTCATTTAACGGATCACGTGGTGCTTGGAGATGATGTTTGTTTATTCGGTAGCTGACCACTATTTAACTTCTCAATTTTTCATCAGGCCTTTTGAAGTGGCGTTCCAGTTTCCTAATGATGAGGGAGAAGAGACCGCTTCCCACAGAGTGGATGGATTGGCTTTTTTGAACAAGGATGTTGTGGGTAAGCATGAACTCAGTTCCCTCTTAGTTGGAGGCAGATTGCCATAAGCACAGTTACTTCCTACACACAATAGAAGTCATGCTTCCTGGTCTCAGGAAGACTGGAACAACTTTAATTTGTGCTGTGGCTGTGAACATTTTAGTAGGTTTTGGGCTGGGGCAGAGTTGGGACTGGAGCCACATACCGTGAATATGGTAATGTTACATTCTTAATCTAAGGAGGAACCTCTAGCCATGCAAGGCAGATGGCTTGTACTTGCTTTGGGTGTTGAATAGAACTGGAGAAAATGCTTTCTTGGTTCAGGGACCCTAACTCCCACCCTGAAATCTGGCAGGGTTTGGCTCTATGGGCCTCTCCACAGAGGGACGTTCGCACTAAGTAACTTGGGGCACTTTTAGTGCAGTGTAGCTAACGTGTTGTAAATTCACACCCTACCTTGCTGTGCACTAAACTTCTCAGGATGGACAACCTTTATAGTAGCCAGCTGTTCATTGGCCTTCTGTTTTCAGCAGCTGCTTCCCATGCCCCACTAGCTCCAGTGTCCTTGGGTGCTGCTTTAAAGTACTACGGGGTGGAAAATCACGTTTGTTTAATTCTTCCTTTAGTCTCTCACGATCAGTCTGCTTAAGGCCAGCGTGGCTAGAACGCTCCCTCAGCTATCACCACACATGGTGACTAGATTTCTTTCGTAATAGGGAGCCATGTTACTGTCAGAAAGGCAGTATTTAAAGAGGGCTGGGTGTTTTGAAATAAATGTGTCTGAATATTTTAGGACATTCATTCCTGATGCGCTTTTGCTCTCTCCTCCAGTTTCTAAGAGTTCTAAGACAGGGTCTATCTACTTATGGAGCTGGAGCCAGTCGTTTGAGGCACAGGGGAAATCATGTCACAGAACACGACCTGCACTTATTCTAGCTGAACTGGAGTGGTCTACAACAGACCTGCCCTACCTTACCCTCAGCACCTGCCCAGGTAAGCCCACTTTTACAGCTGCCAATGGAGAAGTCTGGATTGGACTTGAGAAGCTACAAGTTGTTTTTTTTAATAGGCCTTGCCATTTCTGCTTTACTTACCCTGCCCAAGATATCAGCTAAGGATTTTATGCCCAGCCTTGCTGCTCAGTTATTCTGATGCTGCCTCTAAAATGCTAATGGCTACCTTCTGAACATCTGCAAAGCACTTTAAAATGAGGGGTGCTTTCACTATACAGGTGGGCAGTATGTTACCATTTGTGCTGCATTTAAAACTGGTGGTAGAACTTCTGCCCGGCCCTCATAATAGTGACAAATTTCCGGCAGGTACCTGAATCTTAAAATAATCCACACTCTTTCCCCTCCTACTGCCTTACTTTGAAAGGAGTGCCTCCTAACAAAGGCCACTGCTCTAAGCTGTCTGCTGGAGGCACCCAACTGAGCATTAAAATAGGGACACTAGCAGTGCAAGACCAATGTTAAAACAACTTTATTTCAGCCTTGCAAAATAGTCATAAAAACATACCACCTTGAGCCCAAAATCCACTCAGCACCTCCTTCCTATGATACGACAAATGATATTGGACTAGCCCATAAAAATAATTGGAGTTGAATTTTGTAAGGTGGGTTTACTTAACACACTGCAGCAATTAAGAATAGGATACATCTCATCGGGAAGGTGACATTCATTATCCTGGGCTCTGTCTGCCATAAGAAGAGGAACATCAGGTTAATGAGTGGTAGAGGGTTGAGAAGGTTTTGGTCTTGGCCATCAGAAATCTCAACCCTGCCCTGGTCCCTTTGCTCTTGCAGCAGCAGAGTATGTGTTCTGTGGCGATGAAAAGGGAAGTGTGTGGATGTACAATCTCAGCAAGTACTCGTCAGCCTGGAGGGCCTCCAAGGGAAAACGCTCAGAGAACAGAATAGCTCCCACACAGGTAGGCCTTTGGTTTTTATATTGAACGATATTCCCCCTCAGTGAGGCTGTGCAAACAGGAGGCATAAGACAAATTACTTAACAACTGTACAGATTTGAGTTTAAATCTGATCATTAATGTTAGCATATGAAAGTAACTAACAGCACTGTCAGTAGATGGCTCTTAAGAAATTTTTTTAAAATTCAGATTGTTCAATTTAATTCTAAAAGGGGTTGTTAGAGTCAGCAGGGAACTAAATGTGGGGTAAGTCTCTCCCTTTCCCACGCTCTGGTGCCATTGGATAGTGTAATTCTTAACCTCTTCCTACTGAAAGGCTTCTCACATGCTAAGTCCTGACAGTACCAATTTATAGTTGATGTTTTTTCACCACCAGCTCTGAAAACTTGATGATTTCCCTCCCCTCCCCCAACAGCTGGTCTTTAACAGGGCTCTCCGCATTACCTACTGTCTTTCCTCGATTAAACCAAGGTGTATCAAAACCTGAGTTAAGACTAAAGCTGTTGAACAAGAGGAGAGATTTTAGATAACGTGAGAGGCAACCATCTAATTTTTTCCATGCACTTGAAAATCTATGTGGTTACCCTAGCTTACATCTCTATAATGGATTTACTGTCCTAGATCAGTGTTGATATACTCCCAACGACTGAGGCCCTAACTGCTAGCATGTAGTTTTCGTAGGTGACTCTTCCAGACTACTGCCATCGCATGCTGTTAGCCAATAGCTACTCCACAACCCTATTTACTTACAAACTTTTTATATAATCTTACCACAGCTGGTAGGTATAAAGGGATGGACTGGGGGGGTCAGTGTTTTATACACTCCCCAGTGAAGACTTGGGGGGGGGGGGGTAGCTGTACCTTTCCTTTCTAAACGGAGGTAAACCCAAACCAAGACTGACTTTGTACAACTAATCTGTTCTCTTGCTAGATTCTTGAGTGGCCAGAGCTTCAAGCAAATGGAGAGCTGCTGACTGAAGTCTTAATAAACAATGTGGTGACAGACCCTACTTTCACTTACCTTATTGCTTTAACTGGCGTAAATATAGCAGCTGTATGGAAGAAAACATAGCTTGTTCTTTATGGAAAATTTCATTCCTGTGATGTTTTGAAATAGTGCAGTATTAGTGATTGTTTAACCATGAAGTTTTCTAAACCAGCCCTTATCATGCAAGAGAGAAAACGCAAAGGGACTTGGCACACATCCTGTCCTTGACAATACCCAATTTCTTTTACTGTGAGTTTTCACAATTTGTGTATTTGTTTTATAGAGATATGATACTTAATAAAACGTAATACCTGTTAACTTGGTAGTGAAGAGATGACTTCTGGGGATGGGAGGGAATGCTGCCCTAGATCTAGGAGGGGCATCAGTGGCACAAGAATAGATTAGCCAGCATAGCTCAGCAGTTAACCTTGTTCTGGACGTACAGCTACTAAACCCAATACTACATGGTGAAAAAAACTAACATGCTCCACAGGACAAAATAAAGTGGAGAACTACCCAGCTGTTAAGTTTCATGGGGTCTTACAACAGTAATCAAAGGCTCTACACTCACTGACAGTAAATGATGGATTGAGCAAGTGGAAGTCTTACACACAGCTTTGAAAAAAGTTTAATAGCTCAACTGATACAAGACTTCTCAGACACTTACCATCCTACCTGCAAATAATTTATCCTGTACAGAAATCAAAACACTGCTTTCTCTGGGCAAACTAACTAAAAATAAGTGAATTTAGGGCCACTGTTATTAGAGACATTAATTCTTACTGAAAAAGTTTAAAATAATCCTTAAAGAATTTGTTCAACGAAGTAGTCACATCCACTATAATGAAAACAAACTTATTTATAACACAATCCAGGTTTTTTTTAAAAAAACGTCCACTCTAAGCTTCACGTTCTATTCAATTCCTTCTTGTTTATCTTTGATGGCAACCTGTAAAACAAAAGAAATAGATAATCTGTTTTAAAGGAATTCTGTACCAGAAAGTGATCTCATTTATTTCCTCTCTAAATAGGGTTTGAAGACCAATAATTTGAGCAAAACATTCATCACTATAAAAACTATATTTGAGATTAAAGAGATGACTTTGTATCAGAATATATGATTAAATATTTTTTAAACCAAGTAAAGAAACAATGGTTTAAATCAGCAGCAGAAATATGAGCATCTCCTGATGGAAAACAGGAAATGTTCTGAGGGAGAATGCATATTTATACATTTTCCCTTACATTTTATTAATTACTGGAAGGCATTTACATGAAAAGAGGAAAACTTTCAAAGGATTTCCTGTGTGTCAACTGCTTTATTCTTTGAGATATCATTAGTTGCTGTGATTATATTAAAACAAGTCAAGGATATGATTCAATTAAGGAACTAGCGAATAGGAGTGTATGAAATTCACTATAGCTTTATTCTGAAATGTTTTTCAGACCAATGGTATCTCAAACAATTTGAGGTTAGACACTGTACAGTAAGGAATGGAGTAATTACAGAAGGGCACATAAGTGAAAGTAAGTTCTTGGCATGTGAAAGAAAGATTTGAAAGGCAGAATTTTTCAAGTAAGTTGTTCCAGGCAACAGGCTTTCACACTTAAATGCTTGTGAAAAGGGAGAGAAAGCAAATGCTAGACACCTAGAGAGACAAGGGGTGTGGGAAACTGAACAAGATCTCAAGTGTCCTGTGGTAACACAGCCAAATTCTGCTCCGGCTTAGTGGAATTTACACATGGGTATTCAGAGCTGAATTGGGCTGATCATAACCTTACAGCTGTTGCTTTCATATGAAAAATGTAACTTAACTGTCATTTTTAAACCAGGTCACAGTTTCAGAACTTTTCCCCACATTAGTGACACCGCAGTTTAGCCAGAGAAGCAAACTTACCCTGAATCTCTCCTCCAGAAGGGAGAGTTCACTGATCAGGTCCGTGATAGCATTGGTGAAAGCTTCCTGGGGACTGTAATCAGGAGTGGTCTGAACTCGAATGATGATTTTATGTTCCAGAGGATGTGGGACCTTGTATCCTGCAAACAACACCTGAGGGTCTTTCAGTAATTGCCTGAAATGGGAAGGGAGGGGAGGAAGCATTTAGAGGGTACAAGACACATGACTTAAACAGTTTAGCTGCAAAATTTCTGTAAGATCCTAAAGCATGAAGCCACACATCACACCTTTCTAACAGGCTAATTCAATCCTTGGAGAATTTTTCCATAAAGTTTTTTTTTTGAGGGCTAGAGGGAATGTTATGTCCATGCCAGTACATGCATTTCATAAAACCACTGCACGTTTTGGCAGCATTGACAATGGGAAACGCTTGGCAAGAACTGAGCAGTGGTGTTCGTATGAACAAAGCACCAGGGTATAACTCGAATCATTTTCAGCAAAAATCCATGCAGAAGAGCTATCAAAAGCATACTTCAGTCATCTGATGCAGAGAGCCCAAGTTTAGCAGTATTTACTCCTACCGCTGGAGGCCACGTGCTGCTGTTCTGAGCTTATAAATTACAGAAGGGACTTACGCAAAAGACCTTCTGCATCACTAGCTATGAATGGATTAGCTCCTGTCATGTTCAACCATGTGAAGTCAACCTGGTTTAGCCCTGGAGATTCTTGAATTTCCTACACTCTTAAATTAACAGTTTCTTGCTTCACTAGAATCCGTGTGAACTGCTACAATGCTAATTTGTAATTTATAAAAAAAAGGTAGGCATTTGCACCTTTGCCACCCAGATTGAGTCTCATATTTTAAGGGCAGACGGGATCCCTGGATCATCTACTCTGACCTGTATATCACAGGCCACTACCACCCCCTGCACTAAACCCAACCACCAACATTAGACCAATGTATTACAGCCCACAGAAGACTAGACTATTATGTACCACAGGCAGAGACTACAAGGGATCAAGATGCATCAGGCCCAGTAATAGCAAGGGAAACAGTAAAGTGAGATATAACCAGATCATTCAGGGAAGCAACCTGCACCCACATACTGGGGGGGGAGGGAATCCACAAGGTCACTGCCAATTTGACTTGGGGGGGGGAGGGGGAAGAGTCTTCCCGTGTTACAAAGAACCAATCTTTACCCAAAAGTTAGAGGCTATATGCTAACACTATGTTCTAGAGCAGGAGTGGGCAAACTTTTTGGCCCGAGGGCCACATCTGGGTATGGAAATTGTATGGTGGGCCATGAATGCTCATGAAATTGGGGTTTGGGGTGCAGGGTGGGGTGAGGTGAGGGCTCTGGCTGGGGGTGCAGTCTTGGGGCTGAGGGGCTTGGGGTGCAGGAGGGTGGGATTGAGGGGTTTGGAAGGTGGGAGGGGGATCAGGGCTGGGGAAGGGGCACAGGAGGGGGTCAGGCTCGGGGAGTTGCTTACCTGAAGCAGCTCCCAGAAGCAGCGGCATGTCCCCGCTCTGGCTCCTACACGGAGGCGCGGCCAGGCTGCTCTGTGCGCTGCCCCATCCGCAGGCACTGCCCCTACAGCTCCCATTGGCTGTGGTTCCCGGCCAATGGGAGCTGCAAGGGCAGCACTTGGGGCAGGGACAGCGTGCGGAGCCCTCTGGCTGCCCCTATGCATAAGGGCTGGAGCGGGGACATGCTGCTGCTTCTGGGAGCTGCACAGAGCGGGGCAAGCCCCCGACCCTGTTCCATGGCGGGAGCTCGAGGGCCGGATTAAAATGTCTGGTGGGCCGGATGTGACCCCTGGGCCGTAGTCTGCCCACTCCTGCGCTAGAGGTATGATTCCCATGCTTCATGTACACATACTCCTGCTAGCTCTCATAGCGGCAGAAGTACAACCCTGCCTGAAACCGGGGGGTGTATGTCTGCCGCTGTGGCCACACTGCTATTTATGCTCACGCTAGGAGCTGGCACCAGTATGTGTACACGAGCAGAAGAATCGCCCCCCAGCTCAAAGTTTGACACATGGTGGTAACAAGGGCCACAATGAGAAGTGGGTGTCAATGAACATAACTTCACATCCGTAACTACCACAAATAGGCCTGCAGACATCACCCAAACATGCTAGTGAAACGGCTAGTTATCCAGTGTTTATGGTTAGAGTCACACTTGCACCTTGGCAATCTTCCCAGCTAAATGTACGTTACTGCATCACCATTAGACCTTTACTCCTAGAGCTATGCAACAGGAATTGGTTTTACTTACGATTTAATAATATTTCCAAGGGTGTGGTCTTCCTTGTTGATTGTAAACAAACAGGCATTTGGTACTTTTGTATCCTTATTAATTGTGATCCTGAGTAAAAGACAAATATTGGCATTAAAGCAAGTGATGTTATCTAACAAATCAAACCAAACGGTTCTATGCTTTCAGTCCTAAATGGTTATCTTTAGATTCACACCGGATAGATCCTTTTGTACCTGTTTTGGATACACAAAGTTATGAAGTCAATATGGAATCACAATGATACTTTGATTCATCAGAAGGAGAAGTTTATGCAATCCCTACAGCATTGCTAAAGCAGCACAACAGTGACATAAGAAAACTAATGAATTTCAGAGCCCGGTTTCCTTCTTTAAGAATTACTGTAATAGCAATTGCTTCCCACACAGCTGTAGCTGTATACTGGTATTGGCAAGGGAGAATTTTTTTAATGTGCCAAAAATGACTCTGCACAGTGCACTAATAAAAGGGTAATTTAGCAGATAATTTTAAAAGCTCTGTGGGTGAAATACAGAATAATTTGTCAACCTCAAAGTTGCACCATTTTTTAAATTATAGCTTCTAAATGTCACTTCACGATGAATACTGTAAAGCCACAAACATTTTATACTTGAGCTGTTTGCCAAATTGTCTATTTAGTAGATGCTGCCTTTAATAATTCAGATAATTTTTGGAAGATTTAGCTTATCAATTTTTTTTCTGTCTTTAATCCATTTGTATTTCTGAAAGTTTCTCACTTAACCCATAACTTTGACTGATTGTGCAGCTCAGAGACTAGGTAAAAGGTGCAACATGCAACCAATGCATGTCTCACTGATTTGGCAGCTGCAAAATGACAAACATAGCCATATGTACCAAATATCACAGCAGAACAGAGCAGGAGTTTGAAATGAAAGGATTTGATTGGGACATACTTGTTTATGACTGAATGTCCTAGGATTGTGTACACACAATTAAACAATTGAAACATCTCTAAGCTGGAAGCCTACTTTCGCCGCCTCCGACTCAAAGAATACTTTCAAGACAACATTGAACAGCGCACTGATACACAGATACCCTCCCACCAACAAC